TCTCTCTCTCTCTCTCTCTCTCTCTCTCTCTCTCTCAGTCCCTCTCTGGTCAAATTAAAATAAATGAATGAATAAATAGTTAAATAAAATAATTCTTTTTTAAAGAAGTAATTATTTCCTCATTTAATTTTGTTATTCTTATTTTTCAACTTGACCAGAGAGAGAGAAAGGAGAAATGAGAAAGCAAGCCACCGGGTCTGAGACTGGAACTGTGGTTGGCCATGTGGGAGTCTGGCAGCTTAATTACCATGCCACCTTCTGGTCCCAATAAAATAATTCTTAAAAAAAAAAAAAAGAAAAAGAAAAAGAAAAAAAGATATATAGCAAAATAAAATTTTTTCCTATGATTAAAAAAAAAAGTGTATTTCTTTCTCCCAGACCTGGATGTATTTCTATGTGGTCCTGTGCCCTGTAGATTGTTTAAAAATCTATAAAAAGTCTAAAAAATCTACACAATCTAGCTACCCTTCTTTTTGTTTTCTTTTTTTGGAAAGGTTTTCATTATAGGGTGCATGTGCTCGCCAGAAAGAGAGAGAGAGACAGAGAGACAGAAAGCGAGAAATCACCCCCCAGCGGGGATGGGACGCGCCGCAATCCCTTCTCCTCCATTCTCCTCTCGGGATCTTAGGCACGCACGCACATGCGCCTGGCGTGAGTTTAAGCCACCAGGTCGGGACTTGAACTGTGGTTGGCTACATGGGAGTCCGGTGACATAGCCATTACGCCAACTGCTGGTCCTGCTACCCTTTATAATAATATCTGAGTTTAAATGATACGTGAGCCATCATGTAATATCTGTAGCGAAAGAGCTCCGGGCCTGGAAGGTTGTGTCCTTTCATGTTAATTTGAAACATGTTTGTAGATATAAAGACTTTCAAGGCCCTAACACTGGGAAGCTTCCTATAAGTTCATGCACATAGTTTCTCTAAAAATAAAATTCCTCCAGGGCCAGCAGGTGGCGTGGTGGTTAAAGGTGCTGGACTCCAACATGGCTGACTGAAGTTTGAGTCCTGGACCTGGTAGCTTGCTTTCTCACTTTCTTCTCTCTCTCTCGCTGTGCCTCTCTCTGGTCAAATTAAATAAAAATAAGTAAAGTTAAATAAAATAATTCTAAAAATAATAAATAAAATTCATCCAAGTTAAAACAAAATTGTTATAGGGCATGTACATTCACTCGAGAGAGAGAGAGAAAGTGAGAAAGCAAGCCTCCAGGTCTAGGTCTCAAACTATAGCTGGCCACGTGGGACTCCAGAGCCCCAACCACCACACCACCTGCTGACCCCTGAACCCTACATTTATTTTATTCTTTAAAAGAATTATTCAGGGACCAGCAGGTGGCATGGTGGTTAAGGCTCTGGACACTCACACATGGCTGACCATGGTTTGAGTCCTGGTACCTGACCTCTTGCTTTCTCACTTTCCCTCTCTCTGTTTCTCTCCCTGGTCAAAGTTAAAATAAACAAATGAATAAGTAAAATTAAATAATATTAAAAAGGAATTGTTCATTTTATTTTATTCTATTTATTCTTCAATTTGACCAGAGAGAAATCGAGCAAGAAAGAAAGGAAGAATGAGAAAGCAAGCGGTCAGGTCCAGGACTTGAAACACGGTCAGTCATGTGGGAGTCCAGCACCTTAACCACTATGCCATCTGCTGGCCTCCATTGTTTTGTTTTTTTTTAATAAATGACAAAATTTTTTATTGTATTAATTTTATTCATTATTTTTTAAAAATAATTATTAATTTAATTTAATTTATCTATTCGTTTATTTTAATTTGAGCAGAAAGAGAGAGGAAGTGAGAAAGCAAGCCACCAGGTCCGGATTTGAACCATGGTTGGCCTTATGAGAGTGTCCAGTGCCTCAACCACCACACCACCTGCTGGTCCCTACTATTTTTTTTTTTTGAAATTTGACCAGAGAAAGAGAAAGTGAGAAAGGAAGCCATCAGGTCCAGGACTGGAAACTCAGTAGGCCATGTGGAAATACAGTGCCCCTGCCACCATTCCACCTGCCAGCCCCCCTGTTTGGTTTTTAAAGAAATCCTTATTCGTTTTTGCTGCAGTGTCCGTGTGTTGTCTGGAGACAGAGAAAGTGAGGAATCATAAAGGCCACACTGCAATCCCTTCTCCGTTATCCTCTGCGGGTTTTGGGCGCCCATGCACTCAGACCCAACGTGTTTATTCGAGCCACTGGTTGCTGCGCTGTATTAGAGCAGTTGGCCACGTGGGATCCAGCTACCCTAACCTCCACACTACCTGCTGGTCCTAAGCCTCGAACCTTGAACACAACCTCGAACCTTGTGTTTCTGAGAACAGCCTGTTCAGGCGAGCGCTGTGGAGTTCCAGCTTCTGGCCAGAGCGAGACGTCAGGGAGTTTTAGAGATCCTTTCTCCCAAGTGCCAGGTCTGTGGGAGTGAGAAAGGGATGGACTGAGCCATTGTCAAAGATCAAAATAGAATCCGACTCTTCCTTCCGCACAGCGAGCTCGCTTTTCTGAGTCTGTGTTTGTAAACAAGTGGCGCAGGTGTAACAGGGGCCTCCCCGCTTCATCCCGAGCCCCCGAGGACATCGGATCCTCCTGGGTCAGTCTGCACGACCTGGCTGCCCTGCACGGCCGGTACAAACGGCCTCGTTTTATTTACAAACACGGTCTGGGACGCCCGGCGCACCTGGAGCCTCCGTACTGAGAAGGAGCTGGGTGTAGACAGCAGCGTCCGATACTAGATCAGGAATAAATTGGGCTGAAATGCAAACATCCCTTGGGGGGACCGATTTCCAAATCCTTGGCGAACGCTGGATCCGCTAGGCAACTCGACTTCCGGCTCCTGCTGTCACTCAGGCGAAGGGGGCGGGCCCGCATGAGCTGTCCAATCAGCGGCGTGGTCGGGCGGCCGGGGTCGGGGGATTCTGCGCAAACGCAGTGGAGGATGCTCTGAGCTCCGCGGCTCTTGCGGTTCTTGTCGCGGGTTTAGGGCCTCTGAGGGCTTTGGGACCTCCTCGGATCGCGGAGCCCTAGGAGGACGCCGGGACATCCCGGAAGCCGGGGGATGGTGAGCCTGCGGGGCCGCGGGGGTCCCGAGACGGGGGAGGAGCCGCCGTTGACACCAGTCGAAACCCACTGTGGCCGATCCAGGCCTCCTATGTCACCCCCCGAATCTGCGTCCCCGAGTCCCCCGATGGCGCATCTCGGCCCGCGGTCCCCAGTCCCGGGGTGGGGGCTGGCCCTGCAGCGGGACCCACGGGCGTCCTGTTGCATCCCGGCGCGGCGACCGCAGCCCCGCGTCGCTCCGGGTCATGCGGGGAGGACGGGCGGGTCGTCAGGGGTTCCCGACTCGGTCCGTGTCGGGAGGAGCTGCGTCCCCAGGCGCCCCTGGTCCACTCTTTCTCTTCTAGGGCCACCCGTTTCCTTCCGAGTTTTCCAGTTGTATAGAAGCGGGGTCTCAAATCTGTGTCCCTGTCCCCCAGGCTGACTCTGCCTGGGCCTGCAGTAAACCCCTGAATTCCCAGTTCCCTCCCCGCCCTGCAAGCCGCCACTTGCTCTCTGCAGTTCAGTCATTATTAACGCTCTCCGTGGCTCTCCGTGGCGGTGCGTTTCTACCTAGACGCAGTTTTGTTTTCTTTTGAGACAGGGTCTTTTTTTTTTTTTTCCCCTTCCCCCAGAGAAAAAATAGATGATTTTTAAAATTGTTTATTTTATTTATTACTATGATTATTCTTTTTATTTTAAAAGAATTATTTATTTATTATTATTGTTAATATTATTTTTCACGTGAGTTTTGCCAGAGAGAGAGTGAAAAAGCAAGCTGCCGGGCCCAGGACTCAAACCATGGCCAGCCGTGTGGGAATTCCAGCACCTTTACCACCATGCCACCTGCTGGCCCACTATGATTGTTCTTTAACTTGCTATAGTTACCAAAGAAAGACCCCAGGTCTAGGACTTGAACCACAGTCAGCCATGGGGGAATCCAGCACTCCAACCACCCAGCCACTGACCAACCCCAGACCTAGATGATTTTTAAAAAGATTTTATGTATGTTTGTGGATGTTTTCATGAAAGGATCAGCCCTTGGAAGTAGGTTATATAAAATCTTTGTACCAATCCAAGGGGCGTCTTTCCAGAAAGCAGACGTCCCAGGGGACATACTTTGGGTTGGGCTTCCTCTTTGGAACCTTTCCTGGGAGAGCTATTCATGTCAGCTCTGCCCCTCTGGATTCGTCACCTCGAAAAGTCTTTATGTCCTCATTTGATTCTCATTTATTCAATAAGCGTAAAATGTATTTTTGGAGAGGTTTTTTCTATAGGGCGTGTGTGCTCACCAGAAAGACAGAGAGAGACAGAGAGACAGAAAGCGAGAAATCACCCTCCAGGGGGGATGGCCACCCACAGTCCCTTCTCCTCCATTCTCCTCTCGGGATCTTGGGCACGCACGCACATGCGCCCGGCGTGAGTTTAAGCCACCAGGGTCTAGGACGCGAACCACGGTCAGCTACATGGGAGTCCAGCGACATAACCATTACGCCAACTGCTGGTCCCTTATATTTCCTTTTATTGAAAATAATTGTTTCAGGTGAAGCAGATGGTGTAATGGTTACATCGCTGGACTCTCAAGTAGTTGTCTTTGTCCGTGGTTCAAGTCCTGCACCTGGGTGCTTTAAACTCATGCCCAGCCCATCTGAGTGTGTGCCCAAGATCCCAAAAGGAGAATGGAGGAGAAGGGATTGTGATGTGGCCATCTCCCCCGAGGATGATTTCTTGCTTTTTTTCTCTCTCAATCTCACAAGCTCGTGTGCCCTATAGCAAAAACCTCTCCATAGTAGTAGTAGTAATAATAATAATAATAATTGTTTCTGGGACCAGTAGGTGGCATGGTGGTTAAAGTGCTGAATGCTCATATGCTCTCAAATAAATAAATAAAGAAATAAGTAAAATACTGAAGGACTGTAAGCTTTTTCTTTTACACCCGTGACTACACAGGAGAGCCCAAGAGGCCTGTAGAAATTCAACTTGCAACATCATCAGCTGGCCATATTGCTCTGAAGGACTGCAGATCATTTCAGATAGCCAAATGCAGGGCTAGTAGGTGGCGTTGTGGTTAAGGGCACAGGATTCTCATGTGGCTGACCACGGTTTGAGTCCCAGAACTGGCAGTTTTCTTTCTAACTTTCCCTCACTCTGTCTCTCTTCTGTCAAATTTTAAAATAAAGGCAAATACAATAATGATTTTTTTTACACAAGATTTATTTTGTTTAATTTGATTTATTTATTTATTTATTTATTTTAATTTGACCAGAAAGGGACAGAGTGAGAGAGAGAGATAGGCAAAGCGAGAAAGCAAGCTGCCAGGTCCAGGACTTGAACCGCTGTTGGCTGTGTGGGAGTCCAGTGCCCTTAACCATCATGCCACCTGCTGCCCCCAGTAAAATAATTCTTTAAAACAATAAAAAAAAGTCAGATCCAGGGAACCAGCAGTTAGCGTAATGGCTATGTCGCTGGATTCCCACGTAGTCGACCGCGGTTCGTGTCCTGGACCCGGTGGCTTAAAACCCACGCCGGGCGCGTGTGCGTGCGTGCCCAAGATCCCGAGAGGAGAATGGAGGAGAAGGGATTGCGGCGTGACCATCCCCCCTGGGGGGTGATTTCTCGCTTTCTGTCTCTATGTCTCTCTCTGTCTGTCTGGCGAGCGCACGCGCCCTACAGTGAAAATCTCTCCAAAAAAAAAAAACCAGTCAGATCCAGGGGCCGGCAGGTGGTGTGGTGGTTAAGAGTGCTGGACTCCACATGGTTGACTGGTGCAAGTCGCGGACCTGACAACTTATTTTCTAACTTTCTTTCTCTCTCTCTCTCTCTCTCTGTCACTCTGACCCTATCTGGTCAAATTAAAATAAATAAATAAGGGCCGTCAGGTGGTGGGGTGGTTAAGGCTGCAGGACTCCCACATGGCCGAGCGAGGTTCTTGTCCCAGATCTTGCGGCTTACTTTCTCACTTTCTCTCTCTCCCCCTCTATGGTCACATTTAAATACATAGTTAACTGAAAATCTCTCCAAAAAAAAAAAAAACAGTCAGATCCAGGGGCCGGCAGGTGGTGTGGTGGTTAAGAGTGCTGGACTCCACATGGTTGACTGGTGCAAGTCGCGGACCTGACAACTTATTTTCTAACTTTCTTTCTCTCTCTCTCTCTCTCTCTGTCACTCTGACCCTATCTGGTCAAATTAAAATAAATAAATAAGGGCCGTCAGGTGGTGGGGTGGTTAAGGCTGCAGGACTCCCACATGGCCGAGCGAGGTTCTTGTCCCAGATCTTGCGGCTTACTTTCTCACTTTCTCTCTCTCCCCCTCTATGGTCACATTTAAATACATAGTTAACTAAAATCATTCTTTAAAATAAATAAATAAATAAATAAAATAGATACAGAGCCAGCAGGTGGCATAGAGGTTAAGGCACTGGATCCCACAAGGCCGACTGTGTGCTTTGAGGCCCACACCCAGTTGTCTTCAAATATATGGTAGATGCATATGTGTGAGAGATGGGGGGATGGCCAAACTGCAACACCTTCTCCTCCATTCTCCTCTTGGGACTCTGCGTATGTGCACACACGTGCCCAGCATGATTTTCAAGCCGCCAGTTCAGGGTCTCAAACTGTGGTTAACCATATGGGAATCCAGTGCCTTAATCACCATACCGCTTGCAGGACGCTTACCCCTTTGATTTTTTGTATTTAAAGAATTTGGGGGTGGGAATTTTGGCATAATGGTTACATTTCTGGACTCCCATGTAGTCGACCACAGTTCGAGTCCTGGACCCGGTGGCTCAAACTCACGCCAGATGCGTGTGTGTGCGTGTGCCCAAAATCCTGAGAGGAGAATGGAGGAGAAGGGATTGTGGCAGGCCATCCCCCCTGGGGGGTGATTTCTGGGTTTCTGTCTCTCTGTCTCTCTCTGTCTTTCTGGTGAGTGTACGCACCCTATAGCAAAAACCTCTCCAGAAAAAAAATTTTTTTTTAATTTTAACTCTACTTATTATTATTTTCTAGTTTGATCAGAGAGAGAGAGGGAAAAGTGAAAAAGCAAGCCACCAGGTCCAAGACTTGAACTGCAATCACTCATGTGGGAGTACAGAGAATTTAACCACTTTGCCCAACCTGCTGATATATTTAGTTTTAAAATAATTATTTATTTATTTATTTATTTATTTATTTATTTTAATTTGACCAGAGAGACAGAGTGAGAGA